ACTGTCTGAATACCTGGGAAAATTAAAGAAAGAGACTTGTCATTCTGGGCCATTTCTAGATGTTTTCTGACAGGCTTTTCTGTGGTTTGTCCTGAGCTAGCAGACCTAAGCACTTGTACTCCTCCTTCAGAGGAGCCTTGGCTTTGGAGAAGGACCATAGAGCTGAAGTGACAAAGGGAAGTTTCTAAAGTGTTTAGAAGTAAACAGTTTAAAAACCAGTGATTAGAACAGCATGGTCCCAGTTTGGAGGAGAAAGGGAGCCAATGCAAGATGTGTGTCCTTGGAAACAGAACAGTGGTTTGTGCTCCTGTTAAAGGCTAGGTGGATTGGAAGTGAGGATGCTGCGAGCTTGCTGAAGAGCATGCCCTTTACACTGGACCCCACAGCAGGGATCAAAGAGAAAGCCATTAGGCAGCGCTAAATACCTCACTGAAGAACATGAGGAATTGGAAAAGGCAGCACCGGAACTGCTGGTTAGCACCGAGAAAATAATACATTGGGCAGTTGCGTGGGCCTGCACGCTATGGATGCAGTTTCTCAAATTGCATATGGACTGTCTCAAACACAATTTGGTAACAGTGCACTTAGAGCCAATACTATGCGCCAGATTGGCCCTGACCCTTCTGAGTGCTACTGGGGAAGGCGGGGAATGGAAAGTGGGGAATGGGACAAGGAGCCTTACTCCCCCTCCCCTCCAAAAAGGGTCAGGGACAACTACCGTCTCTGTGCTCAGGACTGTTCAAGGTCTGTTCCCTATGCTTTCCCCATCCCAAGAGTCATGAGGCGCACAAAAAAGAGGGCAGGTAGGTACAGGGCCATGGCTGAACCACAGCCAAGAGCAGAAAGGGCAGGCTGTGCATTCCCACTGTGCACCAGGGAAGGGATAGTACTTTCTAAGGCATAACCCCAGCCTGCACTCACCCAGGGGTTCGCCAACATTCCTGCACTTAGGGATGTGCCTAAATGGCACCATTTTACCCAGTGTGCACAAGACAGAGACTTCAGCTTTGGGAAAAATTAAGGTAAAAGCAGAATGTTGTGTTAAACAACACAGTCCAAATCTGATTTTGACAAAGGGGTCAATTCCATCAGTGTTGGAGCCATTATAGGTTAAATCACCTATGTCTGCATTGATTCCAAGTATAGAAAGTATCCAATACCCAGGCAACATCATGTGTACAGTACATTGATGTGTTTGGGCCTGGATTGGGTCTGATACAAAGTGTGCAGGCTCATCTGCCTGTACCAGTGATAGGATGGCACAATTTTGCAAGACGAGACCAATATTAGTTAACAAGGCATTTAGGGAGACCAAGAATTCACTGAGATGTTCAACGGTGTTAGAAACTCTGAGCTCAAATTACAATACCTGTTAGCCTGTAACACAGGATCAACAGGAACTGGTTTAGTCATCTCACCTAAAAAACCCATCTCTTGGTGTGATGTTACACCCCATATTCTTCATTAGAAATATTGTTATGATATGAATATGGCATAACTAAGATACATTTTATGCAAGATGGGTCATGTGAGGTATCATTGGAAAGGTTATGATCTACTGAATGTGTTTACCCAATTTGTATGCATGATTCATTTCTGTATCTGAAGTTAGGAATATTGACTATGTAACAATTATAGCTGTGTGTGTCCTTGGGGGAACCCCCACCAGACAGTAGCCAATCAACCTGAATGAGACATTTAAGAAGGACAATAGAACTTTGGAGATACTAATCTCCTGAGAAGCTTCCTGGGATGTTGCTTTGACACTGCAGGGTCATCTGATGATGTCACCTGGTACGTAGTACCACCTTGGACACTGCTGGTATTTTTCCACTGGAAACAAAGGGTTCCCGCCTTATGCAAATTCTGTTTAAGGCTGGGGAGTAAATCAATCAAGACTCGTCTTCATTGCCTCCCGGTCCAGAAGGAAGATTGCTAAAAAACACCGAAAGAGAAAGGCAGGGGTTAAGTCCAGGCTGAGACAGGGGTCCAGTCTGTAAAGAGAAATAACTGGAACTCTCAGCTACAGAAACTCTTCAACTTGCCTAAAACAACATTTAGGGTGAGAAATTACAATTTGTAACCTGTTTCATGAGTGTATTAAGCTTTGTGTGTTTTGTTTTATTTTCTTGGTAATCTGCTTTGTTTGGTTTGCTATCCTTTATAATCACTTAAAATTTACCTTCTGTAGTTAATAAACTTATTTCTTGTTTATTTCAAAACCCAGTTTGTGCAATTCATATCCGGGGATCTTTCTATACAGCGCAAGACAGTATTATTTTGGGTTTATACCCCAAAGGAAGTGTGCATGTGAATGCTGGGCACTCCCTGAGCTGATTCCCCCCAAACAGAGCTAATCTAAGTGTCTCTGTGTCCATCTGCAGCTGGGTGTGGCCTTACCTGTGTGGTTGCTAGAGAAGGCTTGAGGGCCTGGCACAGCTAGGACAGGGTGAAGAAACCCAGGCTGGTGGAATGGGTGGAACCAGTGGGACCGCAGCACATCAGGTGGCATCCCGGATGGGCGGGGGGGATGAACACATCACACTTGGGTTTTTCATTTTTCCCAAAAACAAAAAACTGGGCTCAGACAGAAAAGCCTGGGTCTAGTGTCATGAAATTCCATGAGTTTCCACCCGGATTGTAGACCACAAGCCTCTTGTTAAAATTCTTGGACTGGCAGTGGGTAGAGCAGCTGAACTAGCTACCAGATTACAGAGCTGGGCTCTGAATGAAGCGTCTCGTCCAAGAGATCTTGGGTGCATGCTATCTATACACCAAAGAAGCACTGTTGAACTATCATCCCCAGCGGCTATCAAAAGTGAAAAATCACAACCCGATTTTTCAGAAAATCCTGGTTGGAAACCACTCTCCCTATTGACGATGAAATAAATGGCAGCAGACTGTATATGGTGGGGTATCCTTAGGACTACATAAATATCCCTGCAAGCCCGATATCTGCCAGAATTACAGGGAAACCACCCTGAAATAGTTAAGTCACTGTGCATCACAACGTATGTGCCATGAAATGCCTGCCATTCTATCTTGCCATCCACAGAGAAGATTCCAATCCAATTTGCAGAGAAAAAACAAGCAAGTGTTTATTATAACAGCTGATGATAATGGTTCTAAATATTATGACCTCTAGCATAGAAGTAACTGAGAAATTTGTTTTCTGCATGTTCACGCTCTTTAGATGTCAGATCAGACATCAGTCTCCATGTTGCGGGTCAAGTCCTCTCCTGGGGCAGGGCATGAGTCTTGATAGGCCTGCAGTCGTGCCTGTGCACCCCCAGCTCAGGGCAGTGTGGCCTAGCAGCCAGAGTCAGTCACTGGCCCCTGGCTCAGGGATGTGCAGCCTAGCGGCCAGTTACTGTCAGGTTGAGCGGCCACCCCAGGCTGGGCAGCAGCCAGGATGGGGGACCCAGGCCCTCCCTCTCCAGTGGGTCCCAACCCAGAGTCCTGTTGGTGGCAGGGTTACCTGCCACCAGCTCAGCAGGGATCCAGCCAAAACACACCAAGCTAGTCTCTGGTTGTCCAAACAACTCCCCACAAAGACTCCCTGGGTTACTTCTTACCCGCTTTGCCACATCTTGTGGCTTCCTAGTTTCCCTGGTTCCTTCTCCCTTGGTAGTGTCCGGAGCCTGGGGGTTGAGGGTTGCTGTCAGCTAGCTGGCCTCTGCATTGTAAAGTGCCCACATGCCTTCAGCAGGAGCCAGCAGCACACCTCCTTCCCCTACAGCAGTCAGCCCAGACTGAGCCAGGCTGCTCCCTCTTATACTGGTGTTGCACTTCAAGCATGCCCAGTAGGGCCATGGGGGTGTGGTTTTGTCAGCCCACAGTGAGGGGCATGCACTCAGGACAGGACAGGACAGGACACTCCAAAATTCACATCTAAGGAATTTCAGACGTTCTTTATGGAGGATGGTAGAACGCATACTAAGTCAGCTGCTTAATGTAAACTTTAATATGAACTCAGGAATCAGTTTGTTTAAGAGAACAGGCATAGCACTATGTTACTTTTTGCCAAAATATACTCTCTCTCTCTCTCTCTCTCTCCCTAAATAGCTTGAAGTCCATTCTGATGGCGTTTTGAGAGGGAAGTCAAGGCATTGTAGGCCAAACTCTACCCATGGATACAGATGTTCGCCTCCTATAGATGTCAATGAGAGCCATACACATTCATCCATAGTAGAGTTTGGCTCTGTGATTTGTTCCTTTTGAGTGCAGGAAAGAGTTTAATAGTAAAGATCTCGAACAGCCTGACCATGCTACTATTATGCTGGAGGGTATTAATGGCTGCCATCAAGCAGGTCTTTGATCTATTAGACAATCGCAGACCCTTATTTCAGATTAAATGGAAGGAGCAGTTAAATACTCCTTTATGACACGATAGCCGGAAACAACAGGAGGCTACTACCATAGGCACAGGGTCATCTGGCAAAGCCTGAGCCAGGCTCAGCTGTAAGAGGGTTCCTTTTGAACTGGGCAAACCTAGATGCTAGGGCATTGTTGGCAAGCTGTGTGTGCATTAGAGGCAGGAATCCAGCAAGAGAAATAGTTGTTACTGCGGCCTTCAAACGGGCAGAGAAACAGAGCTTCTTGGCACACAACTCATTGGAGGGACAGACTTGGAAATAGTAAGCAAGGGAATGACTTGCTGTTTGTTTCTAACTGACTATGTTCAGTGAGACTGGACTTTGGGTACAGGATTTATAAATAAACAGGATTGCACCAAAGTGTATATACCTGACTTGTTTCATCCATTTCTGCTCATAACAGAAACAGGTCTACAAGTCCCCACCCAAACACTGGCTAGCCAAAAGGGGCACTCTGTTGAATGTTGGAAGGTGGGCTTTCATTCCCTTTAGCATAATACAGTTTTACCAAGGACAAACTTTCCTTTTAAGCAACAGAGACGAGACTTCCTAAAGATAAAAAGCTGAAGTCATCAAACAACTTAATTTCCGGTTTGAAATGTTGCCATCACAGTGGTTTCAGTCAGTATGTAGATCAAGTGCTCTGGAGGGGGAAAGGAGAGGAGAGAGAGAATGTGTGAGTGACTGAACAGTCTAGCCCCACCAGGTTGGCTTGTGGTTCATTCTTCAGATTTCTTTGTGGGGGTGGCATCTAAATTTGCAGCCCACCATTATCATCATGATAGTCTGGATACTCGCTGCTCTCAGCTTCATTCAAGCTGCTGAAGTAACAGGTAAACCATTTTGATCCTTTCCATTTACTTTTCTGGACCATCATTAAGATGCAGGAGAATGTATTTTGATGTAGGTGACTAGTTACTGCAGGCTGATAAAATGGATTTTGTTTTATTTTGTTTTTTTAATTGCAATCTTCTCCAAATTGGAGCCTAAGAGCTTTTTTATTTGACTTCTCTTTAGATATTTTTTGGAGTCAGGATTTGTCCCCTGGCATATATCAGTTTTGAACATACTACTGCTACCTTGGTGGGTTCTCTTTATTTTAGGGTCCAAACTGTTTTGATGACTCCATTTCTTTCAGTGTATATGTTTCTGTCACCTCCAGAGTGTCCAATGTGCAGCCTATATTCCATTGAAAGTTCACCCTGTCTAAAGGGCTGCAGGACTGAGCCCTAAGAATACTGAGTGAGAATTAACAAATATGTAAAATGGATAAAAATAGAGGGGGTTTTTCTAGGACAATCAATGGGTTGTTGATGGTTGGTTTTAAAAAAAAAACTATTGCTCCCTACTGAATAATCAATTTCCCTCTGAAAACAAAAAATGTCTATGTGGGAATCTTAAAATGTTACTGAATGTTTTAAATCTTCAGTTGTTCTTGCTTAGCTTACTCTATGTCTTGTAATCACCTCTCCTATGCAGTTTTAGTAGCTTCATAATTGCCACATCTTTCAAGGGGACATAGTAGAATGCAAAGCAAGGCAGGGAATGATCGTTTTTGGTAGGATAATCTCAAGTCAAAGTATTGCTGAAATCATTGGCCTGTGAATTCATGTTGTCAGCTCTTCTCTAAATGTCAGCATTTGTATATTTACAGGAAAAGAGATGAACAGAAACCTGTCCTCCTAACAGAACTAGTCACATGTAGACCATTCTTACATTGCTGCTGTTGCCTGGCAGAAGAATTAGAAAAAAGGAGTTAGAAACAGTTCTTACATTTTTCTGCAATTCTCTTCCCCGGTTAAGGATATTGTAATTTGCATGAAATCAAGATCGATATTGCTTCAGAGTTCATCAGCTTCCGCTTCTTATTCCTCCTCTGAAGTTATAATTCTCTGTTTGTAACATCATAATTATTTCCACAGCAGGCAATGGGGTTGTCACAAACAGATGATTATTACTCTAGGAGTGGGGATAAGCAAGAGGAGTAGGTGAACAGTGTGGGGGGTGGGAGTGGGGGAATAATCAATGAGGTGCCAGCAGCTTTAAGCAAATCCTTTGAACTGCAGTATATATTAATGATGCTCTGACACACTGCCGTTGGCCCAGATCCTACAGACACTTGCATGCTTGCTTAACTTTAAATACTTGAGGAGTCCCATTGGTTTCAGAGGGACTACTCAAATGTGTAAAGTTAAGCACGTGTATGAGCTTGCAGGATGAGAGCTTAAATGAGCATTTGCCATAGGTTTCTTCTCCACCTTGTCTTTATATTTAGATCCTCAGATCAGAGATGCTTAATAAATGGACATTATTATTGTTGGGCCAAATGCTGCAGTCCTTATATAATCCAAATGGCCATTAAAGTCAATGAGAACATTGCCTGACTAAGGCAACAAGACTGTCCCATTATTATTATGGTATTACAACACTATCTCAGAGAACGCTGTATGTTGACCTGAATCACAATCTTTGCATTAGTGTTGACAGAAAGGTACTTTTTTCTTGCTTGTCTTTCTGGCTGAGTAATTATTTTACTGTAATTTAAGAGGCAGCTAGAATATTCTGTCTGCAGTGTGTGTTTCATAACCAATCCTGGTGGGTTCTCCGCATATGGTGTAGCAAATGATCCCATCTTGTACTACAGGAAATCTGCTGGCTCATGGTTTTTCTGGGTTAAAAACCGACCTGTAACCCACCCAGGTTACTAGTCCGTAGAATGATCTCTGGTGTGTATGCAAGGTGAGCAGTGGTTTACCAGGCACTAGGATGACATCAGCACATTTCCTCTTCTTCGAACAAGTTAAACAGACCCCTGGGCCCTGCAAATTAAGAAATTGCGCTTAACTAAACCAGTAGTGCATCTCCTGGCATTTATTACCTTTCTTCATACAGTACTTAATGTAAGGAAGGGGAGATTAGCAAGGGCATGAGACTCTTATGATCAGGAGAAGTGGATCAGAGTAGGATGTTTCATTTCAGGGGAAGCTGCATATCATAGACAGCTGGTTGAATTAGCCAATAAAAACCCCCAAAAGTAACAGAGAAAAGACCCTTCTGAGCATCTTAAAAAAGACTGGAAGTAGCTGAACAGCACAAATTGGTAAAGTCAGAATTGCTTTTTTTTGGTACCATATCTGCATATGTTTCTGTTTATAGGTTTTTTAGCCCCCTTCAGTTTCCTCCCTTCCCGAGGCATTCAAATGGGCCTTTTCTCTATTATGTTTATGCAGAACAACAGTTTAGCTGTTCAAACGTCATCCCATACTCCTAACAAAGGCAAAACAACTACTGTTTTCAATATCAGTACTGTATGGGAGAAAAGAGGGAATAAAATTATTTGCTTCTCTGGTCTACCAATCAAGCGCAGGACGTTTTTAATCACTTGCTGGCTATGCATGGAAAATTTTGGAAAAACAATTATTCTTCCTTACTTTTATGTTTTCTCTGTTTCTCTTCCTGGGCCACAATGACTTCAATGGAGTTTTACTTGCGTAAGGTGTATGAGATCAGAACGTCAGTGTTTTACAGTTATTAAGGATGGTTAAGATTTTTTCGTGATGAAAAATCCTAAATTCTATTATAATATAAATTTAATATGAAGAATGTGCTGTGAAATGCTTTATGACAAGGAGATCTTACACAGACTATGTGCAACAGTAGCTTATAAAACTGAAGGCCCCGATCCTGCGAAAGCTTATGCATGTGCTTAATTTGCTACAGAGCGTGGTTCCACCCCAGGCTTTAAGACTTTTATGAAATTGTAGACAGTGATTTCTCATAACTGTTGCTTTCTGGGCTGGGTAAGGTCAGGTGCAGTCATGGCTCTATATAGATGTTTATTATTATGTAGCACTTACAACGGAACATCGCCTTTGGAAATAGCAATCATAGCCCTATTTATGGGAAACGAGTCACAAATGGAAACACCTACTAAATGTTTCAATGTTTTACCATTTTAACAAAGCCCAAGTGACATTTATAAGAAAAGTGTTTTCATGAATGCAAGATAAACTTGAACTATGCTTCAGCAGTGTGTTAGTACACCAGCCTCTTAGAGACCGAGGTTCAAATTCTATTTACTCGCCCAGATTCAGCTCCTGTTGAGGATTTATTCAATCCTGTTCTGGTCACAGGTGACATGAGAGATTGATGGGCTAATCTTATTGTCTTGTGGACCGAATATACATTTTGGCATGACTGATTTTCTCCAACAGAAAGAACCACAAGAGAGGGATAAGAGGCCTTGCCGGAGGCTGGGACTCGGGTGCTTTGGTAGAGCTGCATGCTGAGGTCACACAATGCTTGCTTGCATTATGCCCCCATCAATGCACATAGCTTTCATGAGGAATAATTTGTTCCACATAATGAAGAACAAAACCGCTCAATCTGTTTAGGTGGTGATGTGATTTAATATAGCGGAGCCACCTGACAAAGCTAACCCTGGTTCTCAGCTTGAACAAAACATTTGTAAACAGTCCTCATCCACTGACCCATGCAATACACTTTGCTCATGCTATTAAGGCATCTTGTATTCCATATGCTTGGCTAATGAAGAACAAGAACCTATGCTAACATCTAATCTGCATCAGAGGGCTCACAGATTTGGCTGCATGGCCAAGAAAGCAGGAAATAATTTTGGATAGAAAGGCCAATAGATTTGAATCTCATATTGTCAGCAACACATTGCTGCGGGTGCAAAAATGATCCGATACTGCAGTTGAATAGGGGAGTTCAAGATATTTGGTGTTACACACCGCACATCTGAGATTAGAGACCAGCCTATGGCAGCAAAGCACCAGGGAAGGTTACTAGGCTCCTTAGAAGCGTCTAAACAATGCCTTGAGGGGCTTGCCTCAGTGATGAGACTTCAGAGGGTTCCCCTTTGCCCCTAAGCAGGGCTGGCCAAAAGGATCTGTTTTTCCTTCATAAGTGTTTGTGACAGCTTTGCAGGCATTTCTCTAATCTGCTAATGTTTTTGGAAGTTTCTGATCAAGGACACTTACTTAGATTGGGAGCTCACTGGGGCAGGGAGCAGCTCTTTGTTATACATGTGTACAGCATGGACCCTGGCCTCTAGGCACCACCGCAATTCTGCTACCAATAAGAACACGTTACCCGCAACGCCTCGTTCTCCAGTTATCTAAACACTAGGCCATCCTCACTCCCAGTAGGATTCATAGGCCCCAAACATGATATATATAAAAGAATTCTGCTAGCGTCTTGCACACTCCAGCCCCGGTCATGTATTGATTTTCTTGCTAGGTTGAACCACTTCCAGCTACCATGTTTGGAAAAGGTGTTAAACCGAGGCTACAGTCAGAGAAAAAATATTTTAAAACAGAACTTAATTAAAATAGATTAGCTAACACATTTCAAAAGCAGATAAATGAACCAAACATTTAATTCCCCTAGTGAAGATAAGGCCTTAGACAGCCAAATAGTGCTCTCAGCTGTCTTGGGACAATGGGACAGAATCCAAAATCTGGACCACTTTCTGCCAGCGTAAGGGAACTCCCTGCTCTAAGTTAGTTTCTCACTCTCCTGGGTTTTGCAGACACAGGAAAGCAGGCAAGGTTTGCAGCAATATGTATAAGTTTGTCTCCCCCGCACTAGTACACACAGTGCTAGTCAAGCTGAAGCAAGGGGCCTCAGGAGAAATGACTGGAATCTTCCTCTCCCTTTCATTCTTCTCTTGCTAGAGAGGGGGCTCTGCAAAGCCAGTATGCAATGCCTGCTCTCTTTCTTCTTCCTCAGAGAACACAAAAAAACCAGAGGCTAGCAAGCAGTTCCTGGAGTGGGAGAGTGGCTAGCTTCTGCAGTAGTGAGTTAAGTTGGCAATCAAAGAACTAATGCTGGCTGTAGGGATGCACCCGTCTTACATATATTCAAGACACCAGTTGGTAGGTTGTCTCTGTTATCCACCCCTAGATCAGTTACTGGCCAACATGCCCCTTCCTTTCCCAGATTCCTCTGCGTGTGTTTCTCTCCGTCCAAGTCCTCCATGTTTGCTCTACCCCCTCCCCCAGTGCTTCCTCCCCATCTCCGGCTGCTCCCCCTATCCTTTTCAACAGATGCTTTCCAATTGCTGTTAGGCCAGTGAACAGAGAGTTCCTGAGGGCAGTTTCTGAACCCCTTCTTCTGCTAAGCCACTGGTGCTCCACCCATTTCTCTTCTTCCAATCAGTCATTTGACGAGTGGGGACAAGGTCTTCTAGACTCCCACTAGCTTAGAAAGGACCTTTGCCCCCACTCCATTTATTCCCTAGCCCTTTTAAGAGGTTGAGGAGAAGGATAGAAGGTTTTGAAGCAGAAAATTGGAGGGGGACATAAACTGGGGCAGAAACAGTTTCCCCCCTCAGCATCCCCTGTGACTGTGCCTATGGCTCGGCCGGATAGAGCCCACAAAGGCCTAATGTAAAAGATCTGCACAAAGACTTGTGTGGTCACACACCTGCACTGTTGTGAAAGCTTTGCTGTTGGTGAGAGTCGTTCTCCCTCTCACTTCTTTTCTCTGCTCTCCAAGAGAGTGTAAGGTCTCACTTAAATAAGCAGCCTTCTATGCAGTCCATTTCAGCGATTCAACTCCTTTTGGCACCTGGTAGTACAGAGAGACCCCAGTGATGTGGGAGACAAAAACCACATCGTTCTTATGTATCAGGCCAGTTAGATCAAGTAGAATTCTGCCTCTATAGGAAGTGTATCTTCAGGCCATTAGTGTGCTAAATGCTATGGAACTAACTCTTTGTCACCATCTTATGGCAGGTCCACATAAGATGGTTAAGAGGTTAAGAGGTTACTACAGCACCTAGCGAGAGGAATTTTTTTTAACTCAAGTTGTAGAGGCTCATGCCAAGCTGAAGGTATCAGAGTCAAATTCCAGTGATGGCCCAACTGGGGTCAGTTACACCATCAAGCTATTTGCCCTTTGATAAGGTTGTTCTTGGAACAGAAGGCCTATGTATAACAGTGGTCCTCTTTTTTTGTTGCTTGGTAAGCTAGATATTAAATATATATTTCAACTTAGTGGTGTCCACTAGGACACTCTATGCTAAGGAACGAATACACTGGTGTGTCTATAACTGGGACAGAAGTTAGAGCTTCAGTATTAAATGTTACACTTGTAATCCAAAATACCCTTGATCACACTGGTAGATACACAGTCTCAGTGGGTACCGGTATGTTGAGCAATTGCACTAGCAGGATGTGATATTTTTTAAAAATCATATAATGTATTTTATAAATAAGTGTTTTTTTCCATCCTCCCTCCCAGAAAACAAGATTTTGGTGGAACAGCCGCCTCGAATCATGGCATTTAATAAAAATGCTACCTTGGCTTGCAAATATGCCTATAATGGAACTGGGAACGAATTCAGAGCATCACTGAATAAAGGAACAGACAGAGCAGTTGAAGTCTGCTCTGTTTCCTGGAATGGTTCCTTCCACAACCATCATTCAAATAAAGAATTCAACTGCCTTGTGGCAGTTGATAGCCATACAAAGCAAGTGAATTTCAGTCTTTGGAAGCTGAATACCGACCAAACAGATATTTACTTCTGCAAAATTGAGGTCATGTTTCCACCTCCTTACATCTACAATGACAAGAGCAATGGGACCGTCATTCATGTGGCAGGTAAGACACAAAATCATAATTGTCCAATATCCTTTTCCTTACATGTACACCTTAACGTTAGAGCTCACAGCATTGAGGTTCCCTGTCAGGTACGTAATGACTATTTCTCAGTGAAAGGCAAAATTCCTCCTCCCCCAAATAATGGGTCTGGCAACCTGCCACTTTCCTCTGATGGCCACATCATTTACAGAAGAGTGTTGGAGCAAGGAGTCAATAAATGGAAATTAAAGTTACTGCTTTTATGTTCTCTGACGTTTTTTTCTATTCTGTTTCTTTAAGAGATGCTCCTCCAATCACCAGAAATTGAATCTGCAACACCCTTCTGGGCTCTGGTGGTGACTCTTGGATTTCTGGCTTTCTACAGTGTGCTAATAACTGCAGCGTTTGTTATCTGCTGGGTAAGAAATGAGTTTTTTTCCTTGCTTTATGTGACTCAGGTACACCCCCACCCTTCCACCCACCAGCTTTTGCCCAGCTTATACAGTCACCTTCCACAGTTATTGGCATCTTCAGTTTAAGAACAGCGATGTTTCTTCACTCTGGTTGCTCATCCATTCACAGGGAACAAAATCTGACTGCCCACTGCACTCACATCAGTAACAAGGCTCCACACCAGAGTCCTAACCCTGCAGAACTCTGGCTGGGGCTTGAGTTGGAGATTTGGATGCGTCAGAGCTCCAGGCTCTCACACATTCTGCCCCTAGTAACACTGGCTTGGACTGTCCCCGCTCATAATAAAACCAACAGGAGAGGGGGCAGAGGCAGGAAGCCAGCAAGAAGCCCCTTGTAAACTACTTCCTAGGTTATTCTCTAGAAGGATGCGACAGACAATGGAGCCCACCTACAATATGCACAGGTCCTCTGGCTCAGCAGTTAGCCAAGCCCTTCCATAGGGCTTCCTTTTGCCTCTGCAGCAACTCTCCCTCTTCCCCACCCTCCCTGGTTGCCTGACTCCACTGGACTCCCTCTGGCCACTACCCTTGCTTTACCATGGAGTGGGCGGCATAGGAAAGATAATGCTGTCTCTGAATCTTTTCTTTTAAAATATCTCTGGAGCAATGACACACCCCTGACACACCCTGGCTCCATCCTCTTCTGCCTGATTGGACACACAGATCTGCAGGGCCAGGGAGAAAGGAGATGCAGGTGTAGAGGCAGCCGAGGTCCTCTTCTGTGCATGGATGTGGGGGCGGGGTTTGATTCCCATATTGTATAGAGTACAGCTAGATTATTTCACTCATGTGCAGGCTTGAATAGCGACCATATAGGAGAACTCTCCTCCTTCCAGTCTCTCTCTCTCTCTCTCTCTTTTTAAATATATATTGTCAATGAATTACAAGGTAATCTGCCTGCAATTCCCTGACCCCTCCTTCAGATTAAACCCTACATTTGAGTACAGAAACCCAGTTCCACTGCCAGTCAAGGTCACTAAATTGCATCAGCATTGTCATACAGAGGCCCAAAGCTCATTGCAATGAGAATCCCTGACGATATGCAAGCTGGATCAGGCATGGCCATTAACAAATTTAAAGCCAGCAAACGCTCTCTTCTCCCCCACCCCAACTGAGGAGATTTGCTCTGATTTTATCATAGGAAAGCTAAAATGGTACAACCAATAGGTGAAATTGCTATGTAGCATCTGTGCCTTGATGAAATACTGTCATTTCAGATCCAAAAGTTCGAGTCTGAACAATTTTCTCTCTGCTGTTTGGATTTTCTCGCTCTTACATCTCAGATACAGATTCTTACTAAGATGACACACACTCCTACGGACAATGGCAGTGTAGCATTCTGATTCTGTGCTGTGCTTGCTTCATCCATTTTTACCTGCTGCTGGTATCCTCTGAATAACATGTATTCAGAGGGCTGACATACTTACAGTGCTGTTGGATGTAAATAGAGCTGGCGAATAAAGATTATGGGTCCAAAAAAGCTACCCACAATGACAGTTTCAGCTAGGCCAAACCGTAATTCATTCTGTGTTCTTACACAGTTTTTGACTTCTGTTGAGAAAAAGTGCTTTGCTCTCCAAAACTATCAGTCCTACACCTTCATCTTTGTACAGTCAGGCATTTGGTCACGCTACTTAAATATTTCAATAAGCCAAAAATAACTCAGACTTAGCTAGAGGATTTTAAAATTGTACATTTGTCTATCCACACACACACACACACACAAGTATATATCTATGTTATAGATTATATACATGTACAAGCACACATGTATGTATCTAATAATTTAGATACACACTGCACAGTTGATAAGTAATATATTTTACTTTTCCAAGCTTGAATGAATGAAACTTGATCACCCTTTTAAAGTCAGGAAATATTAAAGTTGTTAAAGTAACCTTAATTCCCCCCATGTTGCACATATCGAACACAATTTTGCACCTCCAGGGATATCTGTACAACTGCCATCCAGATAAGTTAGATTAACATATGCATATCTGAAGGTAGAATTGCACTCACTGTATTCTAAAATATTATGTAGCAGTAAAGCTAGTAATCCAAAATATTCCATCTGTGCCTGTCACTAGATGAAATTTAACATTTCTTCACTTCAAAGAAGGGAAAATAATCTCCTTAACATTATATTTATATAAGAGTGTTTTTTTTAAAAAAAAAATAAAAAAGGAGATTAGAACTCTGAAACCCCAATCTTCCTACTGGCTTCCCTGTGCACCTCAATTACTGCAGAGTCAGAAGTACACAACTGAGGAACTCCACAGTGAAATACCAGCATAAAATATGTAACTAACCTTTATGTATATTATTCTATAGAACTGACATTTACTACTCAGCTGAGTTCCTTATAACTCTAGATGTAAGGCCTCTCTCACGTGTGTATATATAAATAGGCATACATACACACTTTACATGCTTTTCAGGCAAATTGTTCTGTAGACTGGCCTTCAGTGAGGTCTAGCCATTTGGAAACCTGAGCAGATTGAATTGTGTTTGTGCGTGTGGGCACATGCATGCACACACAAGAAGAGTCACAAGTATTTTGGAAAAATTATATGTTTAGGCCTTACTCAAGTAAAAAATACAGACTTTGCTCAAGCTTTTGAAAATATTTCAAATGCAAGAAATTTCAGCAAAAAGATGTTTTTAGCAAGTTACAGCCATAAAGGTGTGATAGAAGGGAGGCCCACTGCACAGTCGCTAATTCACAAGGGATTAACCTAGGTAGGAATAATGGCCTAGAGGATAGGACACTGAGCTAGACTGCAGAAGCCATGGGTTCAGTTGCTTGCTCAGCCACAGACTTCCTCTCTGACTTCAGGCAAGTCGCGTAATCTACTCTGTGCCTCAGTTTGCTATCTGCAAAATAGGGACAGTGCTTTCCTACTGCACAGGTTACTGTGAGGCAGAAGTCCATTAATGAGTGTGAGGTATAGTACTCAGGGCCAGATAGATGAGAATAACCTCACCTCTGCTTCCTTCACCCCTCAACCAGCAGACTGCAGATAGTTTGAGAGGTGGAGGACAGGGCTTCACGGTTACATACAGGCAGGAGGAGTTTTCTGTCACTCTTATTTTGTTTACATTAGCAATTTTTAAAAATTTTCTAGTTAGAAGCTAGGAAAACCCCTTGCTGACTGCACTTGCTTTACTTCTGCTGAGTCATTCCTCCAGCTAAGAAGGTGGTTAGAAGAGAAGTTAGAACACAATCTTAGTTTACAGCATTCACTACCAGGAGATCTCTCTAATAGTATAGCTTTCTCTGCAGGTGGGCTTCTCGGCCACTGACAGGAGAGGAGGGAAAATTTCGCAGAACATTTTATCTGACTACTCATGCTGTTGTTTAGATGAATTTATTTAACTTTAGGCACTTGCTTCAGTGCTTTCCTGAAAAAGTCTTGGGGAATTATTCTGAGTGGTGAATATGTTTGATAATATCATGACCTGCTTGGACAATTCATTAATTGGAAAGGAGGAAAAACAAATCAAGTCCTTTATTCATTATGAACGCAGCTTTAACAAACACTCTGGACTCCTTGCACAAAGGCTTTTAAAAAATTATTTAGCCTGTGGAGGAAAAATTAATTGCAGAAATGTTTTCATACTTTCCCCCCTGTAGTGGAAAAACAAGAGGAACAGAATCCTGACGAGTGACTACATGAACATGACGCCACGCCATCCTCCTGGCCCAAAGAATAAGCATTACCAACCCTACGCGCCAACTCGGATACACACTGAATACCGTTCTTGGGAACCATGACTATCTGCTTACCAAGCTGCTAATACCCCTGGTGTGCTTTTACTCTGCCGTGTGCACTTGGACGTGAAAGGACAGCCTGCCATTAGTTTGTCATATCTGTTATATTTGATGACATCTCTACATCATAGCAAGTACCGGTCAAACTTTAATTGATGCTGTGTAAAAGCAGGTTGTTTTCGCTGATGGCTGAAAACTAGCTACAATTCATGTTCACGCTTGATGGTGGGTAAGGGGGAAAGATAACACTGGATCCAGTACAGGGTATATTGTTCACTGTTGCAACTACTGAGCTTTCCCAATCACTTTTGCCTTATATTGAACGTTAATTTCTACTTAGAAGTATGTTTGACTTGAAGAATTATAAATCTCTGAATCACAGCCCTAGTTGGTTACCATTAAATATGGTACCAAGCAAACTGTTGATGCAAAAATTGATCCCCTCTCACTTCAAAGAGGAGAACGCAGTTTCAAGTTCCAAACATATGCTTAAAAGAATAGGGGAGGGTTTCAGCTGAAGGGAAAAGTCAGCTGCGAGCCATGTGGACCATTAGATTATTCCACAGGTGGGCTGTAATGACAGATCGAGCACACTTGAAATCCACTATACATTAAATGTGTGATTCTTAAGTTCTTAAACTGGTAACTGTGTAATATTTGTAAGGGGAGAGGACCCCCTATGAAACAATTTCATACAGTGAGAAGGCAATCAACCTGCAAGGCAGGTCTGGAACAACAGGGGACGAAGAAAGATCTGCAGTCATCATGAAGAGAACCCTTTTGCATTATGTTGGCCTACAACAAGGAAACACCAGGGCTTGGCCAAAGTCATAGGAGAAGCAGGTGATAAAATCCTCATTAGAGCTTACTGAGGGCTGATTTTCAAAAGTGGGCCAGATTTTTGAGTGCTCAGCACACACTATCGGGGACCGATTTTTAGCTGAGCTGAGAACCCAGTGTGCACACAACATCTCCTGAAAATCTGTCCATGTAGTCTGGTGCCTACATAGCAGCTGAGCTTTTTTTAAAATCTGGCCACAATGCTGAGTGATCAGATCATTTGAAAATTTGCTCCTAAACACCCTATGAACTCCCTCAACTCCCACTGCAGTCAAGAGGAACTGAAAGCTCAGCACTTTGCAGGAGCTGTTCAGTACCTTGAAGGATCAGGCTCTAACTGGGGCTTACTGTTCTTATATAGACTTTTCTCTTGGCATGTTCCATGGAGGAGTAAAACAAGGGCTAGAATAAAACTTGTTCACTGATTTTCATGTGGCATGTTGCCTTTAATGATGACTCCCAAACTGCAGTAGGGTCAGCTCAACACAAAAGCTACTCCCAAGCTTAGAAGAAGAGGTTCCTTTACTGGTTCTCTCCATTCCTTCTAGAGCTGAGCAAAAGACAGAATTTATGTCCGTGTGAAAATTCTGATAATTCTACATTTGTTTTCGTCTTGAACCAGAACAAAAAGATCCCTGGCTTCGATCTTCCACAAAGCTTACGGGCAACCCTAAACCACCTCCGCACAAACCATGGCAGATGCGGATACTTGATACACTAATGGAACTGTGCAGCTGAGGTCACCCAGAACAGTCCATGGAACATAAAACAATTCAATGCCTGATTCACAAATACAGAGGAGGCATCACAGCAATATACTCCGCCACTCTTGATGCAATTACCAGACAACCACCTAAATGTAAAATTATAGTTGTTGCTCTATAGCTACACATCAGCCATATGAAGAAGAAGGACAAAAATCTGAAATACCAATTTTTTTCACAAAACAGAAATTCCAAAAAAATTTGATTCAGAAATGGTGAAACAGTCCAAGTCAACGTTTTCAATAGAAATGCAATGTTTTGACATTCCTGACTCAAAATGTTTCATTTAATTTTGTTGATCTGACTGGAAATGCATAGTTTTAGTCAGTTCAACATTAAACTGCATTTTCTTACAGAGCCACATTGCCTCATGGGAATTTAGTTCAGGAGTCTGATGCTCTTGTTCTCAACTATGGACCAGGCTCTCTGGCTGGACTACATTTCCCATGATACAACTGCAGTAATGTGAGTCCCATGGCAGACTACTCAGCTTGGTCAGAGAGGAGACAGTGTTGCATCATGGGAAATATAGTCAGGCCTGGGAGTCCAATCCATTGGGTGGAGCGGAGGCTGGAGGCAAACTCCGAGTCCCATGAGCCAATGCAGCAAAATAGGAAAATGCAGTTTAATTTTGAACTGACTCAGAATGAAACATTTCTGGTCAGTTTAATAAATGGAAATATTCCAACTGAGGTTGAACCAACCCTGAGCTCAGTATTTTGATTTGGGTTCCAAAGGGAAGGGAAAAAATCAGAAATTCAGGAAAACTGAAATTTTCCTACCGAAAATATTTTTGCAGAAATTGCATTTCCTGTCAGAAAATCATTCTGGCGGAAGCAGGTAACTCCATTGTCCCGAGCGCAAAGCAGGAACTGTGCTGAGATGCCGAGCGTCACAGTCTGGGCCCTGCTTCTTCCTTGTGCCATGGGAGAAGTGAGCGGTGCCGCTCCTTTTGCTGCCACAGCCTACTTTGTCTCTCTGACCTAGTTCCAGTGCAGTGGCTGGTGCCTTGGGAGGGGTGGAGCCAAAGCGCTGCCCACCCCCTGCCTTCGCAGCCTGTCCACTCCCTTCATGGATGGGGGGAATGGCAGGCCAGTGGCAGCTACCTGCCCCACTGTCTAGGGCCTAGCAATTTGGGTGGCCTGTGCAGCGGAGTAAGGAGATTCCTTACTCCCCTGCAGCAGAACTCATACGTGAGTCCTCCATGGCAATTTTATGGATATCATCATATAATCACTGACTGCGTCATCTTACTGACCTTCTGAGCCACAAATCACTGCCAAGGATTTCATCCTGTAATTTAACAGAGTGCTGCAATCAGAATATACTGTGAAAATAACGTCTTCTACTCTGGCACAAGTATAGCAGACAAATATGTACAGAAAGCAAAAATACACAGGGGCAAAAAATTTCTGGTTTAAAATTGCATATGCATTTCCAGACGCGAGAAGCGTGTATATTTCATTGTGTCCCCATGCCTTGGAGTTTTTACTGTACTTTTATAATCTTCTTTTAAAACTGTTAAATAGATGCTGTAAATTAAATTTTGAATACGTTGTAAGGCCTGACAGTAAAAGACAAGTGTTACTTCTTAATGCAATTGTTAATATTATTTGTTTTCTCTCCACTAACACTTCATTGGATTTCAGTTTACATGTACAGACAGTAGCCGTGTAGTATTCTAATGCACAGTGCTTTGTACTTCATATATTCAGTAAGTATTTGATAAACAAGTGAACCCATCCTCAATATTTACACACTGGAACGCTACGGGCCCGTTTCCAAACAAACGTTAATTCATGTGGGTGACCAAAAAAGGGGCACAACTAATGAAGACACAACAAAAGTATACATGTGTGGGGAGGACGGGGAAGGAAAGTGCATGAGCCCTGATGTTGTGTTGAAAAGGACATCAACATAATAGTAAAGTATTGTGGGGCCATAAATTACAGGCTGTTGGGAATGCATTTTGTGTGGCTGAAATACCAGTTTTATCGACCACTGGTGATGTGCAGGGCACTAAAGGGCTATTGTATCTGGAGAAGTGGGCACGTTAAGCCCACAGACTGGCCCTGTGAATAGTGACTAGTATCCCCTGGTTTATATGTACTCCTAACGGATTCCAGCTACTCGCTGGCTTAACTCCTTGTGCAGCATGCCAGGGCAGCCATTGCTTCTACTGGCCCTACATTCAGCAAGTCAGCTGGCTGAAGTGTGAGGCAAAAAGAGAATGCTCCCTGCTAGGCTGCCCAGGACTGGATAACAGGCCAGTGGGAACAGCATCATCTGCCCTGCAGAGAGGTTGAAATTCAATCACATATGCCAGCGAGCTAGACTGCAATTTCACTAGTCCCTTCCCCCCTTCCCCCCCAAGAACACCCCTCTGGAACTTGAATTTCAATGTTAATGAACACAGGGGCTGAAATTGTCATTTCTACCCATAGGCGGACATAGGGAATGGGAGGAAGGCTCCTTGCCTGCTCCCTCAACCCACTCACCTATGGAAACCCTATCAGAAATCAGTGAAATATCTTTCTCAGTTTTTGCTGTTCTAAGGATTCTCTCTTTATTATACTACTGTGATGAGATGACTTGTGGTATCTCCATAGGTACCCTGAACCTTCAGAATGGGGATTGTCTGGATTGCCAAGTCAAAAGGTCCAGATCTTCTCTAACCATTTGAATCCCAAGAATCCCGATATTCTTCACCATTAACACATGCTCCAGAATTTCTGTTGTTTCTTCTAGGACTGTCAACACTATCTTCACATGTTGGCTAAATCATTTAGTCTCTGCCTAATTTATTTAATGTACTGGCTCTTTTACTTTCATTAATTGCTATGCAAAGCTCTGTAGTTCAAGTGCCCACCCAACCTGCTAACCTTTTCCAGCAAACTGAAAGTTCCATTTTATGTTTTTCTGTATAAGCCACTGATATGTCATTGGTTTCGTGGCAAAGATAGCTGTGTGCCATGGTTCTCTCCAGTTTTAGGTTCCAGGTAGCCTTTGAAGACTGAAGCCTTGCAGACATTTGAGATGCATTTGTTTTAGGTTTGAAAAATTCAGGCTGCCAATTTCATGTAAACCCATTATCAGAGGGATGCTACGCTGCATCCTTTCAGATTTTGAGTCTCCCTAAACTACTGATCCTCGGCAGCCACACACTCTGCATGGCTTCTCTTGTTGCCTTTCATTTGTTTACCTTTCAGTTCGTACATACTATAGGTTTTGGATCATTGCAAAATTGTTAAGTCTGTAGAGATTAGCCCCTGCAGCTGGAGCTATCCGACCTGTGAGTAGCAAGTGTGTTATTGACAAATGTCAGTAAGAAAGTGGAGTATGAGGAAATACGCACAAATCTACTTCAAAGCTAAAGATCAAATCTTTCCACTTTTGCAAGGTTTTTTGCTGCGCTACTGGAAAAAGTTTATTCAAGATGAATCACTGATAGAGGTGTGATTTTGTTAGTTACTCACTATACTCAGAAAGCAGACTATGGTAGGAAATACACTAGTAGGCTATTATTCTTCTCTGCCAGTGACTAGAAATGAGTTTGGAAAACAATACAGAAGAGCAACGTGCAAGCCTTATTTAGAATCTGGGAGTTACAAAGGGAAGGAAACACTGAAAACAGCTTATCTGGATGCAAGTGGATTGATTTTCACAGTTAGGAACTTTGTGCGAGAGCATCACATTATAGTGTGTTGTTATTCCAGCCTGAAGGGCACATGCATAGTCTGATGTGGCCAAGTTGATTGATGAGGTATTAGGAGGCTGCCAATTTCATGTAAACCCATTATCAGAGGGATAAAAAAGCCCAATGGTGTCGTTCATATTTTACATGCATTCCAAGATCTGGGCACTAATTCTTCGTACATTTTTTAAAATTAAAGATGAAACATAGCTCTCCTTCCAGAGTTCATAAGCCTACAACTAATAGCTCAGTAGTGGGGGAGGGGTGAGGAATCAAGTTAGTCTTATTTGTTTTATTTGACCATTGAAGTGGCTGACAGTTTTCAAAGACAGCTGGTTTTCTAGTCATTATATCATCATGTGGCTTTTTCCTACTTGGCTTTTTGTTTCTAAAAAAACCTATTTTGGATCAGGCTGATACATTCTCATAGGTTGGAACACTTACACAATCTGCTTTTTAACGTACATTTCATAACCAAGGACAACATTGCATATGCTTCTGGGTAGGAGTGGCATTACGTTTGTACGGCCCCCTGCACAATGCGGCCTCTGGATGATATCATAATACAAAAACAAGGAGGCAAACAAACAACTTGCAACAGTACAACAGCTTGTAGAAGTTCACAGATTGAGCTCAACGTTATAGGCTGAACAAATAGAAGTTCTTTGAACTTTTCCTTTAAAATAGCAAAGCCCTAGGAAATTATATTAAAAATACCTTAAAGAACATTTACAGTCGCAGAGTCAAGAACTGAAATTTAGGAAATGCCAAGTTTACAGTTGCCTGGGCACCCTTCATCCTGCCCCCTTGTGCGTATGATTATGATACAGTCTTTAATTACATAATCACATGCTCTTTTTTCCACAGGACACCTGCTCACTCAGTGTATGGCACAGGATGGGTGCACAACGGGGCAGAGTGAAGACTGCATGGACAGCTGTAAATCTGGCACTTCCTTAACTTTACAGTCTGAATAAAAGTTCTTTTTATGTGATTTTTGTATCTAATTAGACATACGCTAACCTATCCACGTATAAAGCAGGGGATGTCTGGAATATGACAGGAGGCCTAGGATGCTTTCAGACAGCGGGTTTGAAGCATAAACTGAAAATGCAGCTCAGATATTAATAACAATCCCCATTCTGAAGGAGATATGAGCGTTTCATAACAAGAGCAGCACCTGGGATACATCCCCATTCTGTCAGCTTGCTAACCCACCTTTGACGAAGCCAGCAGCTAGGTGAATGAATACACACTGAACCATTCCTCTCTCTGATGGGGCTGTTGTGAATATCATTAATTTGCTGGCTAACAAAAATGGAGGGTTCAGTGCAGGGGATGAGGCACTGTACTCTGCCCAGCTTGCCAAGGAAAAGAAAGATAAGAGGTCTAAATTTAAGCCCAACAGGCCTTGGCAGCACCCCATTAAATTAGCTCTCCCTGTTGTGAGTCAAAATAAACTAGTGCTTCTACGGTGCTTGCTGTCCATGACAACCTTTGGGCTACATTAATCTCCAGCCCCAGTGGTCAGAATCAGAGCTCTGAATTTTTGCTCATGAAAGTGATAAGGTAAATTGTTGAAATTCAGCTGAACTGCTCCTGGGCTTCTCAGCCTTCCCTAGACACATGAAAATTGGCTACAGAGAGGAAGTTTCTGTCTTTACTTGAGCAGTTCATCCACTCCCGGTGGACAGAGACATGGGCTGAAGTCCAGGGCAGAATGTTGACTTTGGGAGCGTTTACCCTGTTTGCTCTTTCCTCATTAGCAGCATGCTGAAGTAATGCCAAAAAAAAAAAAAAATTATGAAGACACTAATTTGGATAGCTAGGAAGGCGAGAAATAGTTTTTTCTAGCTGACGTTGTTTGAGTCCAGCCTATGTTTTTATGCAATCCACCACTGGGGATGAGAGAGACCAATGGGCAGGGGAGAGCTAGTAAAGGATTAATGCAGAAAGGTATCCTAATCTTAAAAAACATGGAACTGAAACCTTATAACAATCCTTCAGGGGACAGAGAAGAACAAATAAATTGTAAGGTGCACACTATAAGGCAGGCTGTTCTTTCTTTTTCCAGCCACTATGCTACAAAAAAAGAGAGAAACCTTCTTACCTCAAGGAGTACATTTTACCCTTATGGGGCTCCTATACACCCATGAGAAACCAACTGTACTTGGTGGTGGTAGTCATCTTAGATCACCTATGTGGGCTTGGGACTACTGCTGATTTCAACTGAGAGCCCTCCTCAGCACCCTGTGTGGTAGGAATGTAGCATGGCAGTTTCCCCCGAGGCAGGGGAAGGTGCACTGTGTTTGGTTGTGTATTGTTTTCTTTGGTTTGCCTGTTGTCTTTGTCTTCCCAGCGTGGCAGGTGTCACCAGCCCCTTCCTTCCGGTGAGGTGAGGCCAAGACAGCAAATTGTTTTTAACAGCGAAAACAAGCAAGCAAACAAAAATAAGATGTATAGAAAAGTTTAAAAACCCCAACCCTGTGGGAAACACCTCCTGAAGAGGTGGAGGGAGCTGATTAGCTCCACCTCTTTTGGTTTCTGCCAAAGAACTATAAAGCTGGTCTCAAGCAGCTGGGCAAATCAGTTATCCTGAGCTTCAGGTCAAGTGAGTGTTGTCTATTAAAGTGAGGCGTTTGGAAGGGAAGCTCTGGAGTTTTACCGGTATTTAAACATCTGAAGATGCAGATAGGTGCCTAACTGGATTTTCAGAAGTGCCTCAGCATCGAACTTGTAGTTGTTTTTAATAGCAATTAGGAGAGTAGGCACTTTTCAAAATCCCACTGGACACCTATTTGCAGCGGCAGACACCTAAATACCTCTAAAAATCTGGATGGATATCTCCTGAACGGGTTATTTTTGCT